AGGAGTTGACAAGCCATCATCGTATGAAGAAAGGAAGGGCGGGGGCGTAGGGGTTTATTTGCTTCCTAGTTTTTTTTTGTTTGCTTGTCAGCTTTTCCATTGCATGTTGTTTGCCAAAGTAGTTTTTCATCTACTAGCAAAAGCTAATGAAATTATTTTTCATTTTTTGTTGAATTTTTTTCTTCAGCTTGTCATCTTTCCATGTGACATAACGTCTATTATGTCGAGATATAGAAAATAAACATCGTCATCTTCGTCATGCTGCAGCCAGTAATTGCATTGTAAAGTATTTACTTTAAATTTCTTTCTTTGCAAGAAGCAGAAGAAGAGTGATGATGATGAGAATCATTGAATCAACGTCAGTATAAGGTATGTATGGAAGATAGTATTTAAATGGCAGGGGTAAATTGGTGGGTGGTAAGGGTATATTGTCTGAATTTAAAGTCACAAAATAGAAAAATTATTTGAATTGATTTAAATTTTGTTATCAATTTTTGAAATGAGGCCTTTAAATCAGACTTTATTTTCAAAGTGCGCCCATCTCCACACTAAAACTTTATTTCAGGAGATAAAAACCACTCTGCAACAAATGCCACTTTACATAAGTCAATAGAATCGGCAATCTCAACCATCTCAATTTCAATATTAGAAATATATACTTTTTGGAATTTCTTAACAGAATTTTGTCATAGACACGTTTTAGTTGTGAGGCAGATATAAGGTGAATTTTAAGCGGATGATGTCAAAGGATGGAATAATCTACATTAAATTTCAATATAGGTTTCAGAATAACATATGTACATATATTTTTGTAAATATAATATTTTTCATGGAAATAACAAGGGGAGTTTTTACGATTAAATTGTTAAAAGCAAGAATTATGGATTTGAGCCCATATCAAATTAAAATTATTAGTTTAAGTTATTTGTGTTCAAGAGAAAAAAATATTTATAAAATTTCACTATTAGTCCTTGAACCAAAGAAATCGGTATATATAATGTAAAGAAATAAATAATGTTTTAAATTGCACAAGAAAGTCAAGAGAAAGGGAAAAAGTTTGCATGAAAATAGTCATAACTGATATTGTCAATTTCAAGGAAAAGTATTAAATTTTCATAGTTCATTTGTTCGGAGACTTGTAGTGAAATTTTATGAAGAATATTTTTTCTTTTAGGAACATTCATATACATACAGTCAAATAGATGAAGTTTAATGGAAAATGTTGACAACATTTGAAAAAAAAAAAAATAAATAAATAACAAAATATGGTCTGTATGGAAAAAAAGTCCGTCACTACAAGAAAAATCTGCTCTGAAAAGGAATGTTCTGGTGTGATGCCAAATGTCTGAACCTTGACACGGTTGAATTTAATTCGTAGATGCAATTTTGCAACAACATTCGACATAAATACAACTTATCAAGTAACAACAATTGTAAGCTACATTGGCCAATATGCCTGATGAGCCGCTTAACCAACGGCGAAACGCGTCGCATAATGGTGAGAATGTAGTATCTCTCTGGCTTTCCTTTTCATTGCGAACTCCGATCATGTAGCTCATCTCGAAAGAGAAATTATAAAAAACATTTACATGAATGATTATTCGCCCTAAAAAGTCATAAAACTAAACAAAATATAATTAATTTTAAATAAGGTGGTATATCAAAAAAAACTGGAATTTTAGTAGCATGATTTTTTTTAGTAGCATGATTTTTTCTTAAACTCATAGTGAAATTTAATATAGAATATAAAATGAAGTTTTAGGGCTAGACGAATGATGCAAAGGATGCATAAAATATTGTATTTAACTTGGATAAAAAATTTATATATTTTTAATAATAATTTATTTCCAATTTATTTTTAATTGGGCTGTCAAAAAAAGATTCTACATTAAATTTCACAATAAGTTCCAGAATAAAATTTTCTCTTTACTGCAAGATTAAAAAAAAATAATAATTAAAAATTCCATTCGGTGTAGCATTAGAAAAAAATAAATGTCTAATTTTGTTGGTTTTTGAATCGGGTCAAAATCTTGCACAAAACTTCATTTGAGGAGGATGGAGTTAAAGCGAAAAATATTCTCAATCGAATTTTACTATATGTCACCGAACAAAAGAAATCGACATATATAGTATCAAACAGTAAAAAATCGCTTTTAGATTCGGTGAAATAGAATGACTTATTTTGTTAATGATTTGGCAGAATTCATAATGAAATTCTGTAGATAAGTTGAGATTTTATTTTATGTGAAGTATCTCAAAGGATTTAATAATCTACATCAAATTTCCCTATATATTCTACCATAAAATTTTGATCATAAATGCAAGATTTTCAAGAAAATTAAAAATTACAATGGGTAAATCATGAGAAAAGAGTATATGGTAATTTTGGAGGTTTTTGAATTGGGTCAAAATTTCCCACAAAACTTCATTTTAGGAGAAAGGTCTTAAATAGAAATTTCCAGTAAAATTGGATCTCAAATTCAAGATCTTTCAAAAAAAAAAAAAAAAAAAAAAAAAAAAAAGATTAAATATGTTAATTTTGTTACTTTTTGAATTGGGTCAAAATCTCCCACAAAACTTCATTTGAGGAGGATGGTGTTAACGCGAAAAATATTCTCCATCGAATTTCACTATATGTCACCAAACAAAAGAAATCGGCATATATAATATAAACCAGAATTCATAATGAACGTCTGTAGATTTGGGCTGTGAAAATAGTTTAAAACTTGTTTTTATGATTAGGATGATGTCAAATCAAATTTCCCTATATGCTTTAGAATAAATTATGACTTTTATTGCAACATCTTTCAAGAAAACTTATCACTTTGAGTATGCCAATAGAAGTGAAGAAATATTAATGGTTGCTTTCTTTGAATTGGGCCAAAATTTTCCAAAGCACTAAATTTTAGGAGGATGTTGTTAAGGCAAAAAATATTCCTTATCAAATTTCACTATAGACCACCAAACAAAAGAAATCGCCATATATAATATAAACCCTTCAAATATCGGCTTTAATATCGATTAAAAAATTATTTATTTTTCACTGATTTGACAGAATTAATAATGAACTTCTATTGATTTGGCCTTTGCAAATAGTTTGAAACTTGATTTTATATGATGGTGTCAAATGACGGAATATTCTACACTGAAGTTATCTATAAGTTCCGTAATAGACTATGACCTCAAATGCAATATCTTTCAAGAAAACACTATAATCTCCTTAACTATGCTATGAGAGGAGAAAAAGTGTAAATTTTTGAAGGTTTTTGAATTGGGCCAAAATCTCCTACAGCTCTTTATCTCAGGAGTATGCTGTTAAGGCAAAAAATATTCCTCATCAAATTTCATTATAGGTCTATGAACAAAGGAATTCAGTATGTATAATGCGAACATGAGAAAAGTATATAATATCACATTGGGTATATCAATGGAAGAGAGCAAGTGTTAATTTTCGAGGTTTTTGAATTTGATCAAAATTTCCTACAGCTCTTTATCTTAGGAGGAGGGTGATACGGCAAAAAATATTCCTCATCAAATTTCACTATGTGTTTATGAACAAAGGAATTCAGTATGTATAATGCGAACGCAAGAAAATTATATACTATCACATTGGGTATATCAAGGAAGAGAGCAAGTGTTAATTTTCGAGGTTTTTGAATTGGGCTAAAATCTCACACAGCACTTCACCATAGGAGGATGGTGATAAGGCAAAAAATATTCCTCATCAAATTTCAATATGGGCTTATGAACAAAAGAATTCAGTATAAATAATGCGAATCAGAGAAAATCATATAAAATCATTAGATGGACAGAGCAAGTGTTATTTTTGAATGGGGCTAAAATCTCCCACACTACTTTATCTTAGAATGATGGTATTAAGGCAAAAATATTCCTAATCAAATTTCGAATAAAAGAAAAACTATAAGTTTTCTGTATAGAACAGGTATTAAATCTACAATCTGTAGAGGGTTAAAGTTCTAGTGAATTCATTCGAATGGTGTTATATTTATTAGACTAACTTCTAAAGGCATTTTTTATTTTAGAATAACTTCTAACGGTATTATTTTGCAGAAGAGAAAAGTATGGAAAACTTCCTGAATGTATTCTTTATAAAGAAGGGTCGAGGTTCCAATACAGTAATTTTGTTTTAGAATACCTTCTATTGAAAGCGTTTTATTCACTAAAGAAAAGTATGGAAATCCTCCTTAAAGTATTCTTTATATTGAAGGGTCGAGGTTCCAATGCAGTTATTTTGTTTTTAGAATACCTTGCAGAAGACCTTCTGAAAGTTTTCTAATCTCTAAAGAAAAGTATAGAACATCTCCTGAAGATATTCTATACACAGAAGACTTCATGAAGATCTATCTATGACATAGTTTTTATATAAAAAGCTTACTCATGGAATTCCATATTAACCAAAAACATCTTCTGGATTTCTATTTATTATTCAGATTTAATAAAATTAGGACCCGATAGAACATCAATCTATGACATAGGTTTTGTAAAAAGGCTTACTTAATGAATTCTATATTAAAAAAAAAATCTTTCGAATTTCTATATATGACTCATAAGAAAACCCCATGAAAAATTTTTCCAGAAGGCCTTCCTACGACTCCAGTTGTATAAAAGTTTTTGTTTGTTAATAATACCCAGATTTCATAAAAATAGATCCCGATACAAAGAACTTCTAAGAAAACCTCCTGAAAAGTTCTTCCAGAAGGCCTTCCTAGGACTAAGTTTTTATAAAAGTGTACATAGAACTTCTAAGAAAACCTCCTGAAAATTTCTTCCAGAAGGCCTTCCTACGACTTAGGGTTTATAAAAGTGGGCTCCGATATTTTTGTTTCTTAATAATACCCAGATTTCATAAAAATAGATCCCGATACAAAAAAGTCTTCCAGAAGGGCTACATACGACTCGGGTTTTATAAAAGTGGGCTATGATGTGTTTTTTTAGTTTCCTTTTCTTAATAATAAATAGATACAATTTTTACGACTTACCCCCCAAGTCCTCTTCGTTTGGTGGATGATGTAAGTGGATCTGGTTTACTTCGATTGTTGGCTAAAATAACCGAGAGGAAGCGAGAAACAAAAATATTAATTTTTATAATTAAAAAAATAGCTATTATTATCAAACTTACTTTGATCCTGCAGATTATTACTTTCATTTTTGTCCTTACGGCCGGAGGAGCTGCTCGATTTATGTGAACCAGGTGGTGGTTTCAATATTGAAACGGGCACCAAGCCCTCTTGTACCGCAGCATCATCACATTGTGGATTGAGACGTACCAAACAGAAATCCGGTTCTTGGGCTGTGGGTGCTTCTAGAATTTCCACCTGTTGGCCCTTGGTAACACTGAGTTCATTGGAACCGGCGGTTGCTATATAATCGGCGGTTACCCAGGTTGCTTCATGGGAACCAATCTGCAAGTGAGAAGGAAAGGAAAGAGAGAAAAAAATCAATAATTAATATTTGAAAATAAAATAAAATTTAATCACATGCACCAATGATTTTTCCAGTAAAAAGGATAATAATGAAGCAATATTGTCTTTTTGCACAAAATATTGAATATACACATTATAACAATATGTATGGTTGTGTGTCAATATTTTGAATATTTTTATAAATATAGACATATGTATATATGTTATGTATAGTATATAACAGAGCTATGTGTACATATTCATATATCACTGTCACAGCCATAAAATGATATCCCCCATTTACATAAATGGTTATATCCTGAACAAATAGCTGACTGGGTGGAACGCCTCCTCCATCCACTTAAAACCAACCACTTGGATGGTTGTTTGACAGACTGGCTGGTTGGCAACGAAAACGTGTCAACATGTTAATATTTCAAGAAAAAAAACTGTATGCATATTATATATGAAGGATATTGAAATTTATCAACACTGTCAAATATATTCAAACACAGACAGCTACTACTACAACAACAATCTCTTATCCTAGAAACGGACTAAATGAGTGTAAGATAGAATGAGGGTAAGTGAGAGAGAGGTGTAATAGGGCACGTGTATTCAAACATGTCAGAGAAAATAGATTCAAGTAGAGGCAAATGAAAATTTCCTTGTCATGTCTTCAATTAAGCCTGCTGACTGACTGGTTGGTTGGATAGTTGTAGTCCTTGTAGTTATTAACATCTTTAATCGATGCTAATGGATGACGGACCGCCATCACTTAATTTGACAGTTGCGAAGAATATTTTTTGTTTTTGCACTATTATTGTTGATAAGACGACAAATTGTTATAATCAGAAAAAAAAATATTGATTTTTTGGGAAATTTTCAAATTGGGCCAAAATCTCCCATGGCACTAGGTCTTAGGAGGATGGTGTTAAGGGGAAATATGTTCTCCACTAAATTTCACTATAAGTCACCGAACAAAAGAAAACTGATTTCCCTATAAGTTGCAGGAAACATGTGATAAGTATACCGATATAAGACAAGAAGAGTTAATTTTGAAGGTTTTTGAATCGGGTCAAAATCTCCCACAGCACTAGGTCTTAGGAGGATTGTGTTAAGGGAAAAGATGTTCTCCACTAAATTTTACTATAAGTCACCGAACAAAATAAAACGGATTTCCCTATAAGTTGCAGAAAAAATTTAGACTATTTTTCAAGGATAAGTATACCGATATAAGACAAAAAGAGTTTATTTTGAAGGATTTTGAATCGGGCCAAAATCTCCCACGGCACTATGTCTTAGGAGGATGGTGTTAAGGGAAAAGATTCTCCACTAAATTTTACTATAAGCCACTGATCAAAAGAAAACAGATTTCCTTATAAGTTGCAAAAAAAATTAGACTATTTTTCAAGGATAAGTATACCGATACAAGACATGAAGAGTAAATTTTGAAGGTTTTTGAATCGGGCCAAAATCTCCCACAGCACTTTATCTACGAAGGATGAGGTTAAAGGAAAAAATAACCCTCATCAAATTTCACACTAAGTCGCCGAACACATGAAATTGATATATTTTATATAAATCAATAAAAAACCAGTAGTAAAGTAGTAGTAAAGTCGGACTGGTCCGACTATATGACACCCTTCACCACTTTGGGTATATTCTACATAGTCTGCTAACATGCGTCGCCTTTTCGAAAGAACATTGACATGAAATTGAACGAAAGATATTTAGGGACTTTGGCTCACCATTTACCGTAAATCGGACGAAAATATATATATATGGGAGCTATATCTAAAACTGAACCGATTTTCACGCAACTTAGCACACATCATTCTAGACTTAATTCAATGCGTTTTATAAAATTTCGTGCAAATCAAAAGGTTTTTAGGGACTCTGGCGCACCATTTACCGTAAATCGGACGAAAATATATATGGGAGCTATATCTCAGTTTGAATCTGTTTTCACGCAACTTACCACACATAATTATAGACACAATTCAGTACGCTATGCCAAATTTCGTGCATATCGAAGGTTATTTAGGGACATTGGCGCAACATTTAACTTAAATCGGACGAAAATATATATGGGAGTTATACCTAAATCTGAACCGATTCTCACTAAACTTCACGTACGTCATTATAGGCCCAATTCAGTACGCTATGCAAAATTTCGTACTAATCGCAAGTTATATAGGGGCTTTGGTTCACTATTTACCTTAAATCGGACGAAAATATATGTGGGAGCTATATCTAAATCTGAACTGATTTTCACGCAACTTAGCACACATCATTATAGACTCAATTCAGTACGCTATGTCAAATTTCGTACAAATCGCAAGCTATATAGGGTCTTTGGCGCACCATTTCTATTAAATCGGACGAAAATATATATGGGAGCTATATCTGAATCTGAATCGATTTTCATGAAACTTAACACACATCATTTTAGACTTAATTTAATATGCTGTGCCAAATTTCGTGCAAATCGAAAGGTATATAGGGACTTTGGTGCACCGTTTACTTTAAATCGGACGAAAATATAAATGGGAGCTATATCTAAATCTGAACCGATTTTCACGAAACTTAACACACATTTTTCTAGACTTAATTCAGTACGCTATGCCAAATTTCGTACAAATCGCAAGCTATATAGGGGCTTTGGTTCACCATTCGCCGTAAATCGGACGAAAATATATATGGGAGCTATATCTAAATCTGAATCGATTTTCATGAAACTTAACACACATCATTCCAGACTTAATTTAATACGCTGTGCCAAATTTCGTGCAAATCGAAAGATATATAGGGACTTTGGTGCACCATTTACTTTAAATCGGACGAAGTTGTATATGGAAGATATATACAAAATCTGAACCGATTTTTCCCAACTTCAATAGGGTTCATCCTTGCACAAAGACATAATACCCTGTACCATAGTGTGGTAATATATTTAATTCCGATTATGAAAAAAAAATAGTAGCAAAAAATTTCGAAGACTGAAATATAAATGACAATCTTAAAATTGTGCCCAGGCCTGGATTTTAAAAAAAATACATATATTTTTTTAAATATTTATAAATATAAATTTTATATGTTGGTTTTTTATTTTTTTGCAAACCTTTATCTGTTTACTGGACTGCCGTGAAAATAAACGAAATGAATTCGGTGTATCGATGGTATGTTGACGCGATAGACCCAAATTTTTGGCCACACTACTTTGACGACCCCAGGGTAAAGATATTTTTCGACGATTTTTTATTGGTTTGCTGATGGTGGTGGCGGTGTTGTTATTTGTTGTTGTTGTGGGCGTGGTGGGGCTAGTTGCATTGGAAAATTCAAAGGCCGATGATTTTTCCATTGAGACACTGGCCGGAGCGGTATTGGGTGTCTCTACTGGGGCGGGTGTTGGTGTTGTGTTGCCATAATCTGGCGGATTTGGGGGATATTTTGTTGGTGATTCATCTTCACCGGATACCGAGGTACCCGTTGATGTTTCATCATTTTGTTTGTGGTGTTGTTGGTGTTTATCTTTATTATTGGTTAGCGTCGCATCATTGCCGGAATGATCGATGCTGTGTAAACGTTCAACAAAAAAATTCTTAACACTTTTCATTTTGGACGGTTTTTTTTGTATTTTTCTTCTTTTCAGAATTGGTTTTTGGTGTTTTTTTCTTTGGTTGTTTTGATTTTTATGTAATTTATGGCACTCTTAGAATTCTGGGAATTCTTCTTCTTTTTTTTTTGATAATTTTTTTAAAGCCTCTTTGGACGTTGAATTTTTATTTCTTTTGGAAATTTAGTTGTGATTTTTTTTTAATTTTTTTGCTCAGCATGCCGGCATGTTGAGCCACCCATAATCTACTGAGGAGAGTTCGTTTTGATTTATTTTATTTTTTGGTTCTGTTCTGTTCTCAATTAAATTTGAATTAACTCAAGTCAAGTTGTAACATCTAAAGCGAATATCCAAGAATATCCCACAATTAATAGTTATTGTTGTTATTGTTATTTTAATTTATTATTGTTGTTGTTATTATGTTATAGTGGTGGTTTTGTGGTCACCCTATTGTGCTGTATTAAAACCCAGAAAATTATTCATCACTCAGAGCCAACCAACCAAGAATCTTGAAACAAAAAACCACTTGAACTCATCGGTTACAGCAGTTTCTGCTGGCATCAGCATTAATAATCCGACCCGACCGACACTCTCGTCTTAATCATCATTATCATCCTCCTCACCATTATTCTTATTATTTTGGTCACGTTATTTCCAAAGGGAATTCTCAATCGCTCACACACACACGCAACCACACAAATGACCTTCATATTTCAAGGAATATGCAGAATTTCCAAGGTGGTTAGAGTGTCTGACCTATATCATAATTTTACTTGTGGTTTCCATTTTCTTATCGAAATTCTTAAATAAATTCTCTCTCTCTCTCTTCCTCTTATCTCTTATTGCCTGTTTACCATCATTACGGCGTATGATTAATATTAATTAAATGGCACTTGAGCGTATGATTAATATTAATATAAAAGAATAATTACTCAGTGGCATTCCGGGAGGAGATTTCGTTTCCAAGGTATTATATTATAGGTGGAGGTTTTAATGCCCATTAAAGAAAATTATGAAAAACATATTAGGGGGCAAAGAAAATGTAGAATGGGATTTAGTAATTTGGATTAGAAAATCCAGAGGAAAAATATTGCATGATATTTTATATAAAATCAGAACCGATTTTTCCCAATTACAATAGGATTCGTCCTTGGGCACATAGAAGATCATTTCCTCTGCCATTTTTTTTCGGTTTACCATTCCGGCGTATGATTAATATTAATTAAATGACACTTGAGCGTATGATTAATACAAAATCGAAATAAATAAATACTCATACTTGTAGTTGAACTCCTGGGGGAGATTCCTTTTCAAGGTGGAGGATTTTAGTGCATAATAAATAAAACAACATATTAAGGACCAACAGGAATAAAGGATGGAA